AGTGAAAGCACCGATCCTGGCACTTTACAAGAATTTTGTCGCCTTTAAACAACCCTCTGAGTGTGGTGTTATCTATTGTTCCCATTTTACTTATTCAGAAACAGTGGGGTTAAGAATTAAGAAATTTAGGGCTTTAGTTCAGCGGTGTAAGCGCCTGCCTGGGAAGTGCAAAGTTGTGAGTTCGATCCCTGGTAACAAAAGACCAAAAAAAAAAAAAAAAAAAAAAAAGAATTAAGAAATGTGGTTGAGGTGACACAGACACTGGCAGAGCTGAGTTCAAACCAAAGTTGGCTGGGGCTTAAACTCTTGGTCTGTTACCTCAAGTAGAAGACAAAGAGAATGGGAGGGCAGCTGGGGGGAACAGGGGAGAGCGGGGGGAGCAAAGGGGCTTCGGAGTGTGATGCGGGTGCAGGGAGATGATCTACGAGGCTTCTGAGAACAGCTTTGGAGAGAAGAATTAGGCCTAGAGAGCTGGAGGCATTTGCAAACAATCGTCACCAGTTCCACCAACTTCCTGGAGTCCGTGCATGCTGTGTGCACACGAGCGCATCTTCCCATGTAATACTTGCAATTGCCACGGGAAGGAGTTTTTATCTCCCCTTCACAGACGGAAGTCTGGGACTCGGCTAGAGTTCACCTGCTCGGGGGCCCGGACCACAGAGAAGCCGTGGATCCAGGGTTGAAGTTCAGGTCAGTCCCTGCTCTAAGCCACTCTGTGAGAAGAGGGCCTGGTGGTGACAGGAGGTGGGGAGCCACTCAGCTTCCACCCTGGGGTAACTCCAGTACACTCCAGCTGTGGGTGCGTGCACGCACGTGTGTGTTGGAGGAATGGTAACTGGGGTCTGGGTAAAGTTATCTCCCAACTCTAATGAGGAAATGAAATGAAGAAGTTGCAGCAAGATGAGTCACCCCGGGGACCTTCCTCCCCCCTGCTTTCCTGTGAACCAGGAAGGGCAGAGGTGCGGGCCACCTGCTGCCCTGCTACACACTTTCACGAGCCTTACAGTGACCGAATCTCCGTGAGTACTGCTGTCATTTACTGGAGACCTTCTACGGGCATCACCCCACGAGCTCCACAACTTCACCTAGACCACCAGGCATTCTTTGAGTACCACCGCAAGCCAGGGGTTGCCAGCGTCCTATCTCATGGAGGAAAAAAGCGCGGCTCGGAGAAGGTCACTCACTGAAGGTCACCCCGCTAGGCCAAAGGAGAGACGGCAACTCACATCTACCTGACTCCCAAACCCACATCCTACCCGAAAGTTGAGGAGTCCGAGGTCAGGGTCTGAGTGCTGAGTGTCATTTACTCTGTGGCCTCAGGCTGACTCTGTCCCTTTCCGGGCTCTGCTTCCCTAGGAGGAACTTGGTGCAGAGGATGCCCAACTCCCAGTTCCACACACTCGTGAACTCTCATGCCCCCTCGTTTCTCCCTCACCCTGCCCACAGCTCCCGGAAGCCCAGCAGGATGCTGAGTAACCGCACTGCTGGACACACAGTGCATGGAAAGATGAAGTGTGGCCTTCTGCCCGGACCAGCCTGGGATACCCGGGAACCGCAAAGCCACAGGATTGCCTCAAGGCCGGCCGTGGGCACAGCGGCCTAGTGGGCAGAGGGGCTGGGCATCCTCTGCGGCCATCACTTCCTCCGCCCTCACTTCTCGGCTTCAGGGTGCACATGAGCTGGGGTGGCAGGCTCAGGCCCTGTGCCCTCTGGCTCCCAGGTGGCCAAGGCGGTGGGAACGTGGTCATGCTGGGAAAATCCCAAGGGCGAGTTTAAGTGGAGATGAGAAGCAAATCTGGCCCTACAGGCAGCTTCTTCCCGCCATGCCCTGCCACCAGGAATGTCTGGAGGCCTCTGGGATGGAGGGCTTCCCGCTTCAGTCTAAGCTAAGATCCCAGGTCCTAGAGTAACATAAGCCTCCTTGCCCTCTGGACAGGTGAGACCCTCTCCCTTCTCATTTGACCCTGCCTCTCTCCTGCCCCCTACAGCCTGTCCTTCCTCACAGCAGCCAGGGCCTTTTTGTAACAAACCCCACCTAGAGAGTCCTCCAGTGAGTGCCTTCTCATCACTTTTAAGAATGGAATGCCAGCTGCCCCCAAAGTTCCGTCATGGCCTGCTCCTTCACACCCACCTCTTCCCACTCCTTTCCCCTTGCTGCCTCTGTCCAGTCCCATGGACTTCTTGCCACCTCTAACATGCCAAGTTCCTTGTCCCTGCCTCAGGCCCTTTGCACTTGTCATTTCTTCCACTAGGAACTCTTCTCTCTCACACCTTTGCCTGGCTGCCTCCTCACAACCTGAAACTCTCAGTTTAGATGTCACCTCGCATCCTGGTCACCATTTAGGGAAGTGATGGTGAACCTTTTGGAGATTTCAGTGACAGCCAACAGCCCACAGTGGCTTGCGTGCCCAAGGTTTACCTGATCGAGGGTAACCCCTTCCTCCCGTAGTCACTGCCCTGCCCCATTGTAATGTCTTTCTTCTCTCTGAAGTGATCTTTCCAAGTGATTGGTTTGCTCAATCAATCCCCAGCTTCCTCCCCGAGAGCTCTATTAGGGCAGGGATCTGCTGCCCTTGCCAAGCAATGGGCCCGCACATGGTCCTCACAACCCTGTAGGTGACCATAGTATAGCTCAGCGAGGTGCGTGAGCTACCCCAAGTCACAGAGCCAGAGAGGGGCAGGATTCAGACCTGGGTTGGCCTGATGCTCAGGCTTTCCGTGCCCCTCTTCCAAGGATGTGGCTGCCACAACCAGGGGCTCCTCTGGGGGCCCTCGCCTAGGGAAGAATGGTTTACAAGCAGGCTCTCAGGGAGGGTCCAGGAATGGGAAGCTAACCCCTTTCCCAGGGGTCCTTCTGCTGAGGCCTACGAGTGGGTCCCACACAGTCCTGGAGACAGCGAAGTGCAGATCAGTGAGAGCAAAACCAGAATGAGGGAGACCCCCAGAAACTGAGGGCAGAATGGGAAACAGGATAATGGAGGGGAAAGAACCAGCCTAAGGACACACAGCCAATCAGTGTGGACCCCATTGCCTTTCCCTTTCCCCCCAGCAGAACATCAGGTAAAAGCAAAGCCCAGGCTGGCCCAGATACAGAGACCAAGCCCAGAGCTGCCAGGTCTCAGGCCAGGCTGAGACTGGAGGGGATCCCCAAGACCAGAACCCCTGGATTCCCTCTTTCAAAAACATTCCCCAAGAGCCTGCAATAGAAGGGACCAAGAGGCTCTGAAGGGGACACCACACTGGGCAACTATGTGGCAGCTTCTATGAAGGTCAGACACACAAACACCCGCCGGCCATCAGCCAGGCTGCTGAGCAGGTACTGAGGGTCATGAGCGCCTGTATCTGCAGAGACACAGACGACACTGTCACAGCAGTTACAGGTGACATGCACGGACAGTCATGCATACATCTACTCAATACGATACAGCTGAGCCTAAAGGGAGCAGCCACTGGAACAAGAAATGACCCAGATGACGTCAGAAATGGTCTGTGTTGACCTAACTTGTAGAAACCAGGCATAAACGAGTGTGCACGTGTGAATCCCTGCAGATGAAATTCAAAACCAGGCCAACGAGAGGACAGAAAGCAGGCCAGCAGCTGCCTGTTACAGCACGGGGAAGGGAGGCACGAGGACATGAAAACATCTCACATTTGATTCACATGGTATGCGGGTGCATCCATCTGCAACAGTCAAGCTAAGATGTGTGTGCCTTGTTAAGTAAAGTACACCTGGATTTGTAAAAGGGCGCCATCTCTTCCCTCAGGATGACATCCTTGTCCCAGGCAGGACAATGATAGCAGCTGATCATGACTGGACCTCTGCATGTGCCAGCACCGAGCCAGGCTCTTTTAAACAGAAGCTAATTATACTCTTCCAAGCACTGTACAAAACAGGCCCCAACGGCTCCATCTCAGAGACAAGAAACAGAGCTCCCAGAAGTGACACAGGGTCCAAAGTGACACAGCAAAAAGTGATGGACCAGGGCCAGGGATTTAGCTCAGTGGCATAAGTGCCTGCCTTGCAAGTGCATAGTCATGAGTTCGATCCCCAGTATCAAAAAAAAAGGGATGGACCAGGTCTGAGCTGGACCCTACTAAAGCCCACTGCTGCCACTTGGGCAATTCAGTCTCCTCCCATTCCTGCACCCCAACCCACAGCCCCCATCCTTTCCAGGGCTGGGGACCGCTCATGTGTGTACTGGACTCAGAGCTTCTTCGAAAGAGCCAGTTAGGAAGTGAGTCCTCCCTGCCCCTTCCGTCCCTCCCACTCTCCCTCACCCCTCTCACGGCCACACATCTCCGAGGTCATTTGAGCTCCAGCCAGTGAGAAGCGACTCCAAAGACTGGACAGCTGGGGGTGGGAGGCAGGATGGACCCACAGTCTTTCTCAATCCCTGGGCTCTCCCAGCCTGGATGGTGAGCCCAGAGTACCAGGAAGGCTTGAGGACAGAGTCCCCACCCTTGGCCCCCGTTCCCGAGTGACGCAACCCAGTGCCTGGATTCAGAGAATCATAAAATCTTTCTTTGGAATAACAACCGCCGTCACCACCATTTCTCTCGTGCTTATGACACTGTGCCAAGGGCCAAGCTGACAGCTATAAGTGACATCTCATTAACTGTCACTGAGGAGCCTCTGAGGCAGGTGCCAATCCACAGACAAGCATCCGCAGTGTCACAGTGAGGAGGAGCCGGGGTTGGGTGTTGCTGAATCTGTCTGTGCCAGCCACGTCACTGTACAGAGGAAAGACTGAGGCCCGTGAGACCCAGGAAGAGACAGTGTCTTGTTCGGGGTCACATAAAAGGTCAGTGGCAGAGTCTGGGCTGGAAGCCAGGTCTCTACCATTGGCCTTGTTTTCAATAACCAGACCCGAGCTTGGAGCAGGCCCGGGCTGGCAGCTGGTGGGGCAGGTGGAAGGCTGCTCAGAGGTAAACATTGACAAGCCTGTGTTGACACTGTAACTCGAGTCCTCCTGGCTGCCAGCGCCCACCCCCGCCCCGCCCACAGCTCCCGAGCCAAGAAGGCAAAGGAGCTCTTGCAGGGGGAGGACTGATCTACAGGACACCTCTGGGCCAGGGCTACTCTTCCTGCCCAAAGGGACTCCTTCTATGGGAGACTTGCACTGTGCAGAGAGGGACTACTACATGTGCCTGGGGTACGTAACATAGGCGGGGGTCACAGGCCTGAGTTCCAGTCACAGCTCTGCCGCTAGTGGGCAGTAGCTCACGAATGGGAAGAAAAGGCTTTCCTCACAGGCCAGGGCCATGCAAAGGTGAAGGAAATAATCAGCGTTTCTGGCTGGCACCCAGCCCCAGCTGGTTCCCAGCAACCTCTCTGGCTGCCACCCAGCGGGCTCACCCCTGTCCCCGGGGGGCTTTCCCAGTTTCTGCTGCATTGAGTGGCAGTTAAGACTACACAGCCCGAGTCTGGAGGAATGAGGCGGTTGGCTGCTGCCCCGGTTCAGTCCTTAGGGACCTTCGAGGCTGTTTTCACAAGCCCGAAATGGGTAAGCAGCAGCCGGGTCGGAGGGAGGCTCAGGCAGGTGGGAGCCGCCAGACCTGAGCCTTCCCTGCCAAGCCTGCGGGGAGGAGGAAGCCATTTCTGAGCTTGTCATTGGGCCAGGACAGCATCCCAGCCAACTCCTGTGCTTGGGACCCCTGGGGAAGGGCGGAATCCTAGGCCCTCGACTCCTACGGCAGCAGTCTCCTGCAAGTTGGGTGCCCGTGGCCTTGGTGGCTTGTTAAATTCTGACTCTAACTTTTCAGTGCATGTGATCCAGACTACCAGCGAGTCTCCTATGGCCTCCCGCTGGTGCCCGGCCTCCAGGCCTGCCTGCCTCCCATTCTCCACAAAGAGCCTGACCATGGTCAGATCTGACCATGTCGCTGCCCTCTCTCTAAACTCCTGCCTGGCACCCCACTGCCTTTAGGATCAAGTCCCAAATCCCTAACGTGACCCTCCCATAGTGCACCGGCCGGGCCACCAGCTGTCATCCTCTGCTTCTCTGGATGAGCCCGATGCCATCTTGCACACATGGTTCCTCTGCACCAGTGCCCTTCCTGTCCCACTCGTCCATAACCCAGACTGACCTCAACCCATAGCAACCCTCTCTAGCGCTGGGATGACAGGCGTGCGCCGCCCCATCTGACACCTCTCAGTCTTTCTTTCCACGTGATGCCTTGAATGTCACGTCCTCAGCAGGCCTCTTCTGATCCCAGGACCAGGTTCCCCATCAGCTCCCCCAGTACCCCACCCTGTCTCCTTGGCAACAGTAATGGTATTGTCATTTCCTGCCTACATCTGCCTTTATACCAGTCTGTGGAAGGGGGACCTGCCGGTCTCATCCACATTGACCACAGCGCTGGATCTCGTGTTGTGCCAGGCACTTGCTTGATGAATAAATGACCAAAGCTTTGATGACCACAGGATTGACGATGTTAGAGTGCTTACCTAGGCAACCGAAGGCGAAAACGACCGAGCAGAAGTACCAAAAGTTGTGATGGGTTCCCCACCGTAACTACCAAGGTGTGGGCTTCGGCCAGGCTGGTGCACTTGGCCAACGCCCCAAACATTCTGTGCTGCCCACTCTCTTGCTAGACATACCTCAAATCCTTTCCTCCCCAGACAAGGCCTGGTTGCTCCAGTTCTGCCTGAGAAAGGATATTTATTCCTTAACAAAAGTCACCAATATTCCTTTTTTTTTTTTTTAGACCAAAAACTGCAGCCATGCAAGGAAACGTGAGTGACCCAGTTACCAGCACAGCTGCTGGCTCCCCGGGGAAGGGGACCCAGGAACCCGATGTGCACAGGAGTAGCTGGGGCACGTGGCTGGCCCTTTACCTTCAAACAACAGGACCTCATGTTCTTTATAGTTTCCTCAGTGTTTCTGGGTGCCCTGTGCCTTCACAATGATACCCTAAGAAGAAGAGGAAAATCCTCCCAACTTGGTAAAAACACAAGGGCACAGAGAGGGGGCAACAGACCCGAGATCACCCAGCAAGTTGGACACACATAGGATTCAAATGGAGGATTCAAACTCAGCCCCCAGCTTGGAATATAAAGGCACATTCTCAAGTCACCACGAGGACAGAGTGGGCCTGAATGCCAGCCTGGCTCTCCTTCCCCATAACCTGTCTGCCTAGCTGACCCTCCAACTTCCAGGACCTTTGGGCCTGCTCTGGCACCGGCTTGCTCTGTGACCCTGGCCTACATGCTTTACCCCTCTGTGCCTGCTGCTGGGTGATTTGAGAATAGTTGGAGGCAGGAGATACAAAAAGTCTCACAGAACAACTCATCCCACACTCTGCCCTGGGTTGGGGGAGCCCACGTGGAGGCCTCAGAGGACAGCGGTGAGTGCTGGACTTCCTGCCAAAGAGTTAGAGACCTGGGGTGGGGATCTGGGGCTCATCAGGGATTCTCCAGGTCCACAGCATGCAGGCCATGTGGTCTACAGGGGAGTTTTTTTTAGGGGCCAGGGATGGGGGTGGGGGGACTTGGCCACACTAGAGGGGTGGGGACATGGATTTGTTTTAAAACCACAGAGCAGGAGATCCAGGGACTAAACAATTTAGTGGGAGGTGCTCAGACCTTGTTTAGAGGAAACCAAAATGACAAGGAAGCCTGACATCAGCCTCCACCCACAGGCACAATTCAACAATCCACCTTTGCTCTCTGGCTTCCTAGGGCCTTTCTCTCCCTCCTGAGTTCCCTCATGCCCTGGGGCCAGGCCGTCCCCGCCTTTCAGAGTATTTCCTATGTTCTTACACCTCCAGTCCATATGTCACACAGTCCCTCTATTGGACGTTTTTTTTCAGTTCAGATGCCACCTGCTCAGCGATGCTGTTTCCCATCTCTCCATCCAGAAGGGAGTCCTTGCTTGGCACGATGTCCCTATCTCTCTTAAGGGCATGCCACCTAGCCTGGGAACCAGTGTGAAGTTTACTAACAGAACTTGACTAACTTTCCCTTAACACTGTCTTGATGTCAGCTTTTTTTTCCTTTGCACAGGCTGGCAAATAGCAAGGGCTGAATAAATGGCTGCTGAATGACACATGAAATACTCCCTGGAGAACCACTACCCTGCAGCAATCTTTCTTCCAGGTCAGTAAATGCATCAGATGTTAGGTATTCCACCTTGAGCTCAGGTTTGTAAATGAAAGGACTCTAGACAATATTCAACTAAAACATTCTCAGCGGGGTTACTCAGCCAAGTCCACACCAGGAGACAGGCAGATGGGCTCTCACTGATGGGAAACTGGAACTCAGAAGTGATGCACATGACCAAAGGGCGGGGTGGGGGGGGTGAGGAGAGGAACTGGGACTGGATTACAAATCTGATGCCAAAGTGTGGGTCCTTCCTGATGGCCCCTCAGGGCTCAGTAAAAGTGCCACCAAAGCAAAGTGGGTACTCTCTTTATGTGGGTTTTTAAAAAGTCCTCTTTCTGAGTAATACAGGTCAGATTAGAGACAAAGTGGAGTGGCCGAGCCACAGCCTTTACCTTTCTGATTTTTCACATTCTAAGATGTTTAGCTTGGTCCTTCTCTCTGCTCCTAAGTGTTTTTTTGGCAGGGGTACTGGGACTACACCCAGAGACTTCACACTGAGCCACATCCCCCAGGCATTCCACCTTCTTGGGTTTTTCAAGACTGCCTTGCTAAGACACCCAGGCTGGGCTTGAATTTGCAATCCTCTTGCATGAGCATCCCACAGTGCTAGGACTTCAGGCAGGCAACACACAAAGCAGCTTAGGGTGAGATTCTTAACCCAGGATGTAGACCAAGTCCAAGATAACCTCTAGTCACCTCTGAGTGTAGAAAGAAGCCATAATTCTCTAGAGGCTAGAAGTGATACATGAATGGGAGCTCCAGCTAGGTATACAGCAGGAGCTGGTCCTAGGGAGTCGCTGGCAGCTCTTCCGCTGTACAGGGGATCTGACACCCTCCCTCCTCCCACAGTGGGCCCCCTCAGGCTTGTCGGTGGCATCAGAGAGGTGTGGAGGTGCCAGTCTCCCTGGGACTGGCAGCCAAAATCAAGGGCACATGGTCTTCTCAGATCCTGAATGAGCCTTATACCCACTGCACAGGGAAGAGAACCTGACTAGGAGAATCAGAGGGGCTTGTTCATGCGCCAAGAACCCAAAGAGAAGCAGGTGCACGATGGAGAGAAGTCACCAGGCCCTGTGACTGAGGTAAGACTCCCCCTCCCCCAGATAACCCCCCTTCCTTCGGCTCCAGAAGCTGGTAGGTATCATATGGATATCCCTCCTGGGCTTCTAGAGGACTCCAAAGCTCCCCTTTTTCCTCCATCCAGGTCAACACTTGGCCTCTCCTCTGAGGATTTATTACTAAGAGATGGGAGACCAAATCGCTGGGCGTTGGGCCTCCAAGTGTCCCCTGGTCTCTGACAGCCACCCCCTCCCCTGTGTTACAGCGGGATAATCAGCCCCAGGGTGTCCCAAACTAAAGCGCTGGGCATAGCCATCCACGATGTCCCAAAACTAGCCGAGACCGACCTCGGCTTTATCGGACGTTCAGATCCAGATGGATCTTGATGCCCCGAGATCACCGCCACCCGCGAGCCTGACCCAGCCCGACTGCCCACGGTCTCCACGTCAAGCTGGGTACAGGGACTTCCGGACACCCCAAATTAGACCGGCACCAACTGCCCCCAAGGCAAACTCCTTCTCCCACAGCCCTTCACTCTCATCCCTGGATCAAGATCCCCCAATGGAACCAGCGCCGCGCCCCGGGCAATCGGAGTCCGGCCTCGGAGCCCCCGACTGCACCTCTGATTGCAACCGGCGCCCAGCCCCCGCGATCCGGGCCGGTCCGAATGCCATCCGAGGCACCGCCGCCGGGAACAACTGAGGTTGGATCAGCGCAGCCGCGGGCTAGGTACGGCACTCACCATAGCTCGAGTGCTCCGCTCTGATTGCTCTCTCTGCTCGCGGCTCCGGGTCTGCCGCTGCACGGCGCTGCTCAGACAGCCGCTGCAGCCCGGGTGGCGCGCTTTGGTCCCCGTGGGCGAGCGCGCGGCTCGGCGCCAGGCCCCGGAGGCGGGGCCCGCCGCGGGCCAATGGTGAGCCTCGGGGGCCGGCCCTCGGCGGAACAGCCAATCACCCGCGGAGGCCCGGAGCCCGCCCTTCTTCCCTCCCTCCTCCGCCCCCGCCCCCGGCTGCTTAACCCTTGGCGCCCAGGCCTTTGAGGTCCGTGCTGAACGGAAACCACTGAGGCAGAGGGCGGCGCAAAAACGTCTGTGGCTTTTGGGGGCAGGGTCCCTATCTTGCTAGGACCAGCTTTGGGGGCAGGCAGAAATGAGGAGATGCTCAGCTGTGTCCGGGGCGGGGCGCCAGGAGTTTCAGCGACTTTGGCTCCTGCCTGGAGTGTGATCCAGGTCGCTGCAGCTGCTGGTGTGTGTGTGTGTGTTGTGTGTGTGTGTGTGTGTGTGTGTGTGTGTGTGTGTGTGTGTGTGTATAGAGCGGAGGAGGATGGAGAGGAGGAGACAGAAAAGGGGTGGGGGGAGGATTCTGCATGCCTGTGTGTTTATGAGTGAAGGAAAGACTGACTATATTTGGGGATTGCTATGCCTGAGTGTGTGTGTGTGTGTTGCAAACTTGACCGAGGGGACAAGGAAGTCTGTAAGGGAAGCAGAGGCATGAGGCCTCTCCAAACGTGTGCATTTGCATTCGGCCAGCAGGCAACGGTTGTGGGGGTGCATGTAAAGGAGGAATGAACACAAAACTCGTGTGCGTGTCCCTGTTGTAAACAAGTAGAATGCAAATCTAAGTATGCATGTACTTGTGTGTGTGTGTGTGTGTGTGTGTGTGCGCGCATGGGAGAGAGGAATGTGGCTGTGATGTGGTGCAATTTTGTGGCCTGGCGTGTGAGACAGAATGATGAAAACTGAGTGTGGTGAAAGTATCTGTTTGTGTGACTTTTGTGCTCACCTATATTTGTACACACTGAGGACAAACTTGTGTGTAGGCAGCATAAGTATATGTTCCAGGGAAAAAAGATATTATGGAGGAAATGGGATTTGGGCTTTTAGTTTTTGTCTGGTACTGGGAATTGAACCCAGGGCCTTGACGCTGAGCTACATCCTTAATCCTTTTTAAAATTTTTGAGATAGCATCTTGTCAAACTGCCCAGTTGTCCAGGGTGGGCTTGAATTTGCAATCCTGCCACCGTCTCCCAGAGTGCTGGGATTACAAGCATGAGACACCATGTCCAGCTCAGGATTTGAGGTTCTGAAGGGTGTTTAAGAGCTTCTGAGGCTAGGGAAAGATTGCCTAGCACACACAGGGAAGCAGGGTTGAGTTAGCTGGACCCAAGTGAATTTGAGGAAAGAAAGAACCTACTTCTGGAAGGGAACCAAAGAAGCAGCTGGCTGCAGCCCCTGCTCGGGAGCTGACCTGAAACAACCCTGGACAAATAGGACAGGGACGCTGCAGGCACAGGATCAGGATGCAAGGGTGCTACTGGTCCTGGGCACTGTGCATGGACACATGAAGCGCAAGAAGGGGCTCCCTGGAAATAGTTTTCTGTACACCCCAGTACCCTAAATTCCTCACTGAGAAGGGAGGGAGTTGGGAAGGAAGGTCCCAAAGCACGTGGAGTGCCCAGGTAGGAAGCATGGCAAAGGGAATTGAATTGCATCATGTCCCAAAGGTGACCAGACCTGAAAGTCTAGACCTGTTCTCTGCCCATAGAGAACCATTGGCTACCCCGGCCCAGTTTCAGATTCCTGACCATTCCTCAAGTGACTTCCTGGGAGTCATAGCCTAACACCTGGAGAGACATTGCCAGATCCAGGGAGACATAGCCTAGCTTTCCACATGCCAACTATGTGGTTGGGGGAGGATTCTCACCTCTCTGACCTCAGTTTTCTCCTCTGTAAATTGGAGCTGATAATTCCTGCCCATTTCACTCTACTGATGTGATGATCAAGTCGATTTTTGTACATTGCATTCATAACCCGCAAACCAAATACGAAGCTCAAAAAGAAGCAATCAGATCTGTGCCGTGGAAGTCAGGCTGCTGTCCCCTGTTGGGAGGAAGTGGCCAGGAAGGGTTCCAGGGAGCCTCTGAGTGGCAGTGAGGCTGTTTTGTGATCTAAGGGCTGGGACAGATATTTCTGTTGGTGAAAAATCACCAAGTAATCTCTTTAGATCACAGTGCTTTTCCTTTCCTCTTATACTCCAACAATAAGCTCCAAAAAGGAGCAAAGACAGGTCAGGGCTCACGACCACATTTTATTTATCAGTACCAGGGACATTCTGGAATGCTTGGTCCCCACAAGAGGAACCAGGCTGAGTTTTACCTATGCCAACAATGGCAAGGTTTGATCCTAATTTTGAGGAAGAAACTGCCTCTCTCCGTTCTAACAAGGACACCTTGAGAGGGGCAGGGAGGACGAGGTGTGGGGAAGCTTGACCCAGGGCCGCTCACAGGCCTGGCAGCAGAACCAGGGCTAGAGCCGAGGCCTCCCAACATGATGGCTCCTCCAGGAGAGGGTCCTTCCTCCAGCTCCTTAGGGACCCTCCAAGAGCACAGACACACAAGTGATTTGTAGCAGAAGTACTTGCTTCCCTTGCTAGCCCCCTAGGGGTGGGTTGGGAGGTTGAAGGACACTTCTTTCAGTATGCAAACCTCTGGGCACAGAGATTGTTCAGTGTGAGCAGCAAAGCAGAGACAGGCAGAAAGCCCAACTTTGACTGCCCAGGACCAAAAAGAAGTGACCCTCTTGTCTATGTAATCACAGGTACCCGGGAAAGCTAGCTTCAGACATGGTTCCATGAAGGGCTCAGGTGATGCCATTAGGTTTTATACTGAATCTTCTCTCCATCTCTCAGCACTGTTTCCCTTTGCTGGCCCCAGTTTTTGGCAGGCTCTCTATGGTGACAAGATGACTGCTGCCTCACATCCTGCTGTAAGTATCTCTAACAAAAACTGGCTCATTTTGCCTCATAGTTCAAAAATGCTCTCCAAACTGATTCTCATTGACTCTCATTGAGATATGTGTCAATTCTCTAGCCAATCACTGTGCTCCATAATTCTGATTGGCTGGATGCTACAGGAAATAAGCCCCTCAGAGGTGAGGTAGCTGGCATTCTAGTTTAGATGTAGTTTCTAGTCATCCCAGCCTCAGAACTCCCCAGGATATAAAAGAAATGCCTGAGAATTTGTGATGAGGCCCAGAGTTCACAGGCAATGATAGATGACAGTTATTGCTGGCATTATTCTAACTCTGCTTTGCCCTGTCATC